AACCCTTTTAGTTTGTTGTAGTCTTCAACTACTTTGGGTTTGTTCGGTGAGCCACGTTCACCATCATGCGAAGTTGATATTATCAGGAATTCTCTCTTATCCTTCCACTTCAAAACGAGTATGCCGTCCTTGTTTTGTAGGCAATATAGCTCCCCTCGTTTCAATTTCTTCTCTTTCACGAGTGGTGAAAGTTCGCTACGATTCTTTCTCAAAGTAGCAACCACGAGGGTTCTTCTTCCCAGAAGTTTTTTGGCCAGTCCAATCGCGCTGTAGTAGTTATCGCAACAGAGCTGTCTGTCGCTGTTTAAGAGACCATTCATCAGCGAGAAAACGACAGTATCTGCAAGTGGTCCGGTACGTGCGGTCTTGCCCGCGTGAATCATTGATCTCCATGTGTAGCCTCCTCTCGCGCAAAGTTTGAAAATCTTGATACCATATCTATGTTTCTTTGACGGAATATACTGTCGGAAAACAACACGTCCTCTGAACGGTACAAGCGGCTCGCCTTTGGTTACTTCTCTTCCCGGATGGGAATTTCTTTCACAATTGCCACTGAATATATCAAGAAATTCCTTTATCTTATACATTCGGTCACCGTCTGGTGCGCTGTTGTCTCAGAATGAAGAGAGCGTAGCAGTTGCTCAAATCGACACCTAGACATAACCTTACCGGCAAATGCATGCACTCCGAGCGCTGGGCGTGTGCTCCAATAGTCCCGTAGATTGAGCATCTCCACAAGTCTCATTTGAATGAACAGAGCAATGACCTTCTTCAATTCCTCTTCATTAGTGTCCACGGAGCTGGAATCTTATTGCGACCCTTATCTATTTATTTCTGTTTATACAAGCGTGAGAAGGAAGTCATCGATGAATAATTGGAACAAATCTATCGGAGCAGAACACACTGACACCGCATTGCTCGGCCCGTGTTGTTGAGTGAAGTCCCACCTAGTGTCAGCTTCAACATCCTTTGTCCATTTTTCGGTGTCGCTGTCTTCACTGTCAAGCGTGGCCATTTGACTAGAACCTGAAGCAGAATCTTCTCTTGAGCGAAAAGTTGCTTGTGAATCTTGCGGATCATCTGTATCGCCGCCTTCGTTTTCAGCATCGGAGCCCAACACTCGGAAATTTTCATCCATATCGCCATCATCACAAAAACTGGGATCCATTATCCTATGACGAAAAATATAACCTTGATGCTTGATCAAATCCATGTAAAAGGATGTAAAGGGTTTTGCTGAAGTATTCGATGATTCGAAACATGCCATTCTCATCTTGTCTGTCTCCTGTCTCGACAGAGTCATTGGCGTTTGGAAATAATTTGGTAAAACCTCCCTTCGAACAACCAGAAACAACATTAGATGCCATAACGTAGCTTCAAATAGTGGGTATGACTTATAACCTCTACATGCCACATTTGAAAAACCTTTTTTGTCGGCTGGAAATGCTTACGAAAAAACTGACCTACTTCGGGGACCGTGTGGCCCACCAGTGGACCACAGCAGCCCGCGAGAAGCGCGCTCGGTCCCACACCAGACACGCTAAAAAACCGCGGTCGCCAATGGGTTAAGGACCTATGTTTGTGAGCAGCCCTATTCATCGTGTGATACAATCAAAGATAGAATTTAGTGAACTAGGGAAGCGGAATTTTGAAGTAAGTGTGAAGATGCAAAAAATAGAAAGTCGAATTTTATTCAGAAAAAAATAACGACCAATCCGTGATCAAATTCTGTATTCGAATTCAATTCACTATACGAGTTTGAACGCAAGAACGACAAGCAACGGACCACCAATGGTAAAAAAGAAATACGGCACTGCAAAAGCGAACCAGGCTCACATAACACCCCACTACCTGTTATTACAAGCCTCCTTCAAAACGCATGCGAAAGCACATGCAGTTCCGCTTTTCGACCGCAATTCCTCTCTACCTTTACCAAGCAAAAAAGTGTATCATACTAGGAGTTTGCTTGTCTGCACTTGTCAAAAACCCGTAAACCACCAGACCGATTTCTTCCAAAACTAGTACAAAAAATTGCTGCTCTATTTCCGTCTCATGGAATAAAGGTCTTTGAATATTTAGGTCACTTCATTTTTTATGCTCTTGTTTCTTGTTTCCATTCCACTTCCAGCACGCTCAAACATCAAAATAACAGGAATACGAGGATTTCTTCACGTTTACTATCCAAATCCGTCTAGCTACTGCTGATTGAAAAGTTTTGCGGCCGACCGTGGTGTAGCTAGGTTATTTGTTGAGCGTGACAAATCTCAAAAATATTCACTGTGCCCTTACTGAATTACTATGATTCTCTGGATTCTTTATGTAGCCTCAAACATTATTGAAATGAGTGAGTTCAGGAGCGTGAGCCACAGAGGAAATCTTTAAAGTCAAAAACTCATGGGTAAATAAGTTTTTGCTCACAACCCTTGTGGAACAATTGTATCCTGCTATACCTAAGGCGCTAAAGAAGTTGTTGGTTTGTGTGTTGTGTGTTTGTGCGTATGTGTGTGCGTATATGTATGCGTGGAAGTGTATGTGTTTGTGTATATGTATGTGAATGTGCACGTGTATGTGTTGTACATCTTTGACAGGAAATTGACAATTTCTGTCCCCCTGGACAAATTTGTAGGGGTTACAGGCAGCACGGTGGGTACATTGATGAAAGGTGGTGGGAAGTACGAGTTGAATCTCGCGCGTAGGATACGGAGCGTGCGCAAGTTGAGCGCAATTCGAGTAAAAATAGGCAGCCAAGTTGAAATAAGTAGGAAATAAACTAAGTTGCTTGGGTAACCATGACTTCATCTGGCCTCCGCACCACTTGAGTAAAAATACGCACTACCGAGGCAAATGGGAGAAAAATTTAGAACCAGCAGCAATTGAGAACACAACCCCATTACAGGTCGACTGAGCATTTCCGCAACTGAATAAGGATCAGAAATTTACATTCAGGTTCAGAAACATTCCAGAGCCCGGGAAAGTGTTTAGAGGCTGGTAGGAGAAGAAGTAAAACTTGCATGCTATGTGCTTAGGTACCATAGTAGGTGGAGACTAGATCAAGAATTTGGTCAGACTAAAAAACATTCCAGAGCTCATGGAGTAAGGTCTCAATCCAAGGCATATAGGATGACCACCGAGATTGGCTGCTTTCATAGTCCGCCGGCCGGCCGGCGTGCACGAAGCAGTGCTAGGGGGGGAGGAGGGCGGCAGACGGACGGTCAGCCCCTCGAAGTGCTGCAAACAAGGAGAGACAAGATCAAAAACCATTTGTACGAGCCCCTGGTTGTTTGGTTTTTGATCTTGTTCTTCTTCTTTTCAACCCCTCGACCGACCGTCTGCCGCCCTCCTCCCCCCTAGCAGTGCCTCATGCACGCCGGCCGGCAGCCATTGGCGGAACTAAGACCAAAGTGTACACTCTTGTTCGACTTATTCTTAAAAGTGCAAAAAATGAGCAGAAACCAGTATAAGCACAGAAGACAATCATCTATGCCAGCAAGGGAGGTTACGAAAGCGGGCCGAGCTAATACTCAAAACCAAATATCCTCTTCAAAAGCCTTTCAGATTACGCAACTGACCTTTTTGCTTCCCTCGCCTTTTTCACCCCGCTCACGTGAAGAGATACGGCATTCAAACTCTCCAAAAGTACAACAGTGAATAGGAACTACGATATCTGACAATACCGATCAATACTCCTTATAGATCCTTACCGGCGAAACTATCAAACTATTGTGTAGTTGACAAGGTTTCTTGAAGCTCAGTTTTTCTAAGAGCACAGCGTTTAGATATGATGTAATCCGCGTTGTAGGGGTCTTTCAGTGGGCAGGTAAATTTAAGTGGGTGACATTATACCCACAGCATCGACCTCTTAGGGCATTGAACTCTCAAACTCTAGAGTGAGTAAATTAGATTTGATTGCAAGAACGCGGTAAAGGTGTCGATGGATATCGATTAATCGGAAGCGATGAACATCGACTTGGTATTGGCGACCGCCTATTTAGAGCTTCTTTCATTTTGTACATACAGAATTCATGTAAGGTTGAAGTACGCGGTTCACAACGATTTCTTGTGCAACTGAGAGGCAAAGCAAGTAGTATTCGATAATGGTCGAAAGACTTTGATCAGTATCGATATTGTATTGTCCGATAGGGACCCACAACTCATTTCTTCGAGATGAAAATAAAAGTAGAAAAAGTAGACATCGGGGGAGGGGTAATCTAGCTCAAATATAAGAAGAAAAGAAGTCGGGTGTAAGCCGTGTGATCCGAGTGGTACGCTAACAAACGATAACGACTAATCATCACGTAAAATACTCAGCGATTCGGATCGCGCAGCCAGAGGTAATCATATTTTCGAATTCAAACACTTAATTTACAACGGGACCATTGGGTTGATGCATAATTATTGCGGATTATTTCAACAAATTCCATTTAAAGAAACGATGAAAATATCTGACAAAGACATGTTTGAATAGTTGCTCCGGAACCTATTCACCATCTACGTCAAGCACTGCTTCCCATTCGCTAGGCGTTCGCACTCCACAAGCGAAATGTTTCGATTCTTGGAGACGATCCACACCTTGATACCGGCCGGCCATCAAGTCATCATTTGCTTTGGAGGTTGGTGAATATGTAAGATGTAGGAGCAGATCCCGTTCCTTTCATGTCTTTGGGTAACTGTCCCATCGCCGAAAAGTTTGTTGCGATCGCGAAGTGGCTCCGCCACCTTCTAATCTTTCTCGAAGTAGTGGACCATGGTGAGACAAATAGGAAGATGACGTTCTAGTGCATTTTNTTTTGTTGAGAAAAATAGTAAGATTAATTCTATGAAAACCCCGAATTAAAAATTAAATATTCAAATTTTACAGAGAGAAAATAAGCCGCGAAAAAATCCGCAGTAATTATGCATCAACCTAATAGTTTTGTGGGACATTGGCAAGGTCTTTGGAACTTTGTAGAGGCTAAATGTGATGGTATTGCGACGAGCAAGTATCCGAAAATGGCGCTATTTCAGATGTTTTCCCTCGGAAGTACGATTCCTCCACCATTTTCTGTCACAAGGCTAGGAACAAGACTGAAGAATTTCTCGAATTTGTTGCTTTTATGTTTTCTTGTCACAGTGATATTCAAATCGAACTGTCAAGAACTAGGGCCTTAACCAATATTCTGTAAAGAAATCAGTGCACGTGGAAGATACCCACCTTCTGGTCAGCCACAGCACCAATTAGATTACTCGCATAATAATTGGGAGGCTGAAGTTCTGTAAATGCGATTAAAAACCAGAATGCGTCTTCTTCATCAAGATATAGTAGTGCTACTGCAGCTATGCGATTCAAGCCCTGAAAATTCTGTTGTGAGGGTTTTGCAGTGCTCACCCTACACCGAACACTAATAAGAGAACCTGGCAGTATCCTATCAACGTGTCATGGTATCTGTAGGCGTACAATACTCTCCGTAGTTGTTTCACCTTTTCCGAATCTGGATCGGCAAACATGCTGTTGGCCGAAAGAGTCCGTACCAGGTCAAGATCGATCTTGAAAAAAACTTTCTTTAACTGCTCATTTTGCGCGTCTGGATCTGATAAAAAAAGCCGGTGTAAATCACACTCTCGAGCTGTGTAAATTACAATTTCAAGCGTTACGAAGCTAAACTTCATACTAGCTATAATAACTTGAATAAGGTCATATAAGAACAAAAGCGCTTAGAATGAGTAGTTCCATGATTTGACTAGAGCACTTAAATCAATATCATCCCTCTTATTTATAAAGCAGTAACTAGGTGTGCCGGCTGTCTGTGAACTTTTATGATTACGATAAAGTTAGTGATATAGAAAACCTAGCTCTATCCTGTATTTCCTTCTTAAATATAAAGCAGTAACTTGTGGGTAGGGTAACTGAGTAGAGTTCTTAGGAGTGAAGTAAGTAATAAGTAGTGCGGATAATTCAAAACTGTGATTTCGATATGTACTGGCATCGTGCCATGTACGTTAATACAAAAATCAAAAGTGATAGTGAAGTTAGGAGACCTCGCTTTTTTTTAAACACTGAGCGCTGAAGCGCAGATAAGGAATATAGCCCATAACTGTGCTCAGTAACGTTTCTTCGCCAAAGGGAAGTTTTTTTNCCCCCCCCCCCCCCCCCCCCCCCCCCAAATGCATTTTCTATTTACAATGTAAACATAAGGGATGATGCCCAGCGCAAGTCGGATAGTATAACAGGCAAGCCTAACATTGCGCACCCCTCATAAACTGATAGCCTCCAAAACAAAAAAAAAACTACTAGGTCATCAACTATGTTCATGCACAACGATGATACGTAAGAAACCCGGGGAGCCTTTTGCAGCTCTTTTTTCGAAAACTAGTGAAGTGAAACAATGCAGTCTAGGCCTGACCTGTTTGATGGAAGTGTCATAGACCCCATTCTCTTGCTGTGTAAGCGCCTTGCGAAGCATACTGCCATAATAGCCATTCCCGAGTTCCGTTATTTTCTCCCTCATGACAAGTTGAATTAAACTGAAACAGAATACGTGTAAGGTTGCTCGGCATAATTCAACCTGCTCTTCTGAAAGCTTGGCAAGTGATCGGTCACTTTAACTTGCGAAATCCGGGCAACACGCACGTAAACACATATAGAGGGTGCGCCATAAATATTGTAACAACTGAACGGATGTCCGCACTTGCTTGTTCGAGGAGTTTTTCCAAATCTGCACCTTCTTTCATGTTTAGCACATACCTTAGCTAACATATCTGCTTCGGTGCTCACAATACGTCAGTTATCGAAAATCAACCTGCACTTCTGAAAGCCTTGCAAACATTCAACAGCCGTTCCTTCTTTGCGCGCATTTGGTGAGACCACTTCCGTGATCGTTCGTCGCTCCGACTTTCCCGCACGACAGTCTCTTATATCTCAAAGCGTGGACAGATCAACGGCCAGTCTCAAGACAGTCTTCTCGTCTCGAATGCAACCCCTTCTCCGAATACAATTGCTTGAGAATGATTACGCTACGAAACCTGCTAAATTTGAATGTGTATTCTACTTCGAAGAGAATAGTCCTCCCGAGCGAATAAAGTTGCACCCACATAGGTTTCGAAAATAATACGATTTTTTGACGACAATTTTAGGAGGAAGCGAAGAAGTTGAAAAGGGTCAGATCGTTTCTCGTTGCTATTTACTTCTTCTGTGACGGTTTGGGCTGGAATCTTCGCCTTCAAAACGATAGCACTCATTTCTGTCGAGAAAAGTATAAAAATTGATCAAAACGTCCTCATGAGAGAAGTTGCTGCTCAGGGTCGAAAACTATTTTGAGGTCGAGAAGAATACTGGAAGCACACGCGTACTTGCTCACCAATGGAAAAAGATCAAGACTAGAGCTGAGTATATGTTTGCAATTTCATCCCCGCTTCCAGTAGACCTGAAAATTTTTCGGTCCACAATTCATTGGGTCCTCGGTCATAGTGCACACTGGAGAGGGAAGCCTGCGCTCTAAAACACACCACTCTTGTTGCTTCTACGGAGTCGCTGAAAAAAGCTCGGACTGGAGTTTCTCAGAAAACTCTACGTGCCGCCGTCGATGACAAGCTGAAGCATCTCGAGCTACAATTAATAAAATGTCAAATGACCGTGTGTTCATTTTGTTGGTGCGATGCATGATGAATAGTTCACATGAATTCCCACGTATCAATGTGAAATGCGGCTTCTGTACGACGATTAGTATGCTACAATATTCATGACGCACCCAGTAGAATATGCGACCAATGAAGGCGTTGCTGATACCTCATATTATGAGGGTTGCCTTTTATATTTCGGGAATGGGCAATCTTAGTGTTGCAATCTGGCAAATGACAGCTCAGAACTTTTCGACATATGAACGCTATTCGTGTTGTTTACACTAACTTAAAAGATTTATTCATGCCAAAAGATGGAATTAAATCGTAAACATTTTTGTGCGATTGTTTTTTTGGCAATGCAACTGCCGTGCAATTTTTGGCGATGAAGCTCCATCAAGGACCAGGTTGAACGATGGTATGGTGAATTCAACCGAGGTCGTCGTTCACTCCATGAAGAATTTTGTGGATGTCGTCCAAAATCAGTTGCTGTTCCAGAAACCATTGATGCTGTGCGCAAACTAATATTGCAAGACCGTCACGTGACCTATCGTGAGATTGAGGCAACCTTAGGCATTAGTGGGACCAGCATATATTCAATATTGCATGAACATTTGACTATCAAAAAAATTGTTGGCGTTGGACCCCTTTACCACGACAATGCGACCTCTCACACATCGGCTCGAACAACTGCATTTTTGAGCACTCAAAACATCAATTTGATGAGCCATCCGCCATATAGTGCTGTCTTGACATCAAGGGACTCCTTTTTGTTCCCGTACGTAAAAAATAAAATGAGGTCAACGTTTTTCGACACCTGAAGAAGCGGTTGATGCGTTCAGAATGCATGTTTTGAGATACCTCAATCAGAGTGGCAAAAGTGCTTCGACAATTGGTTCGAACGCATGCAAAAGTGTATAGATCTTAATGGAGAATATTTTGAAAAACAATAAAGCGGTTTCAAATGATTAATATTCATTTTTGTTCTCTGATCCCGAAATATAAAAGGCAACCCACGTTCTTTCAGAAACGAGTCCAGTATTACTACCTAACCGAAAGCCAATCAAGCTTTCAGACGTGCGAGCAGAATGACTGAAACTTCGTAAAGACATCTCCATAAAGATAAAAGCATTGACAGTGAAAATGCACGTGGGGAAGGGGGACACACGACAGTGTAGTGTTGTTGGAATCACAAGGAACTGACTCGGTCTTGAGTATTGTTCCGTGTTATATGTAATAGGTTGATGCATAATTATTGCGGATTTTTCTTCTTTTTCGTTTTTTCTCTCGATACAATTTGAATATTGAATTCTGATTTAATAAAAATAATCATCTTGCTTTGCTTAACAGAAATATGTCTAGAAAGTCACCCTTATATACGTCACATTATGCTCTATTACATCGAGAAAGGTTGGAAGGTGGCGCAGTCATAAAGTTATCTCAACGAACTTCTCGACGATGAAAAAGTCAGTCAAAGCCGAACAAAGAATGAAATCTGCTTCTACGGTCGCTTCTATTCACTAAAAGAACCTCCTATGGATAATCACGTCAATCCCCCGCTGAAAAACTGGCTGGCGAACAGAACTTTCGACGAAATGGATGGCTTGATGGCCGACGACAAGGCGTGGATCGCCTCTAAGATTCGAGACTTCTTCGCCTGTGGGATCCGACTGATTAACAAATGAGAAGCAGTGCTTAACGTATATGGTGGACATGTTCCGGAGTAACTATTTGGGCATGTCTTAGCTAAATATATCTACCCGTTCTTAGGGTCAAATTTGCCGAAAAAAAATCGGCAATAATTATGCATCAACCTAAAAGTAACTCGCCTTTCCCGGTGCTCCTCCCTTCCTGATGCACCATCCTAGCCATAAATATATGTTATATAACTGTCTAACTAACTCGATGCGATGTAATTTACTTGGGATCGAGGGCACACATAAGAGTGTTGTAATAACTAACATGGTTGTACGTGTTATACGTNACGTATAACACGTACAACCATGTTAGTTATTACAACACTCTTATGTGTGCCCTCGATCTCAAGTAAATTTACATCGCATCGAGTTAGTTAGATGTCCCAATAAAACTCCAAAAGAGGAGATCGATACCAGTGGGAGCATTGTTCTTTGTCCTTCATAGAAAAAGTCTCATTCAACAAACCCCTTCCAAACTCGCGATCGGTAGGCTTCGGGAATACCCGTGCGGATGAGACTTTTCAGTTCCTGACTTTCCACTAGTGGACGTCCCACCCAGTTTACCATGAAAGCATCCCATGATTGTAGCCATAGCATGTTCTCCTTGCTTTGTTCCTGAATAGAATACATCCATTAGAGTCCAAAATTCGTGTGATGCACTATTCTTAGACTTAATGACGTTCTTATCAGCTAACCAGATTTGCTGCTTCTAGATATTGGGTGCCTTTGCTAGCATACTCCGCTGCTAAGTTCAACAAATCTCCAGTAGAAGATTCCTAAATGAAACGTAAATTCTACAGTAGAGGTAACTAACCACTACGATACGCGATTACTTTGTACTAAGACGCAGCTTACTCGCAGTTTGTTATACAACTAGGCTTTCTGCTGGTACTCTTGACTCAATCAACCAAAGTGCAATCGATTTGTTTCGAAAACGGAACTGCTCCGATAGCACCTTCTTGAACTTCCTTGCAAAACAGTATATCAACAGTATCTGCGCAGTACGTTCTTATAATGAAACTAGTCAGCCTCGCAAAATACCCGACCAAATCACGGTCTTTTTCTTCTCACGACATACGATACAACACTTATGATCTCAACGTTTTCTGTAAGGAAGTGCTCAAAAAGAGACGAACCCTCCAACTTCAATGAAGAGAGAAGACTGCTCGTCATCAAAAGAGCTCAAACTTCGTAAAGATCGTTGGGTGCTTCAGACCCAAAAAATGCTGACTGTTCTTAGATTTCCACGTTTGGCCTTCTCAAAACCCGGCCATGTCACTAAAGGCTTCAACTGCTTTGTTGTACAGGTTTGTCATGATAGATTTGATCAGGTCGACGTTTCGAACAACTCGTCGTCTTCAAGGACCTCAAAGTAGTCAGAAGCTCTCGATCTATGGCTTGCCCCACCAAGCGTCCAAACACGCTAGTTGCAACAACTCCCAGCAGTTCAAACACCTAAAGATCCCAGCCAAGAGACCATTCTTCTGAGGTTCCACTAGTGCTGTCGTCCTACTAGATTTCGGGAACAACAAGAGAACAATGAGACACCAACGAATTCTTGAGAAAGAATTACTCGATGGTTTCAAAGCCCACAAAAAGGTATGAATGCCAGAAGTACACGAATTATAGCAACGCACCCATTTCGTTCGACAAACTTAGGATTTCTCGCGCAGATTTGCATCGCTTTTAACATCATTCTAGCACTAATCTCTTTCTCTAGGCTAGAATTTTGCGTTTTATATCAAAATCATAGCCTTGAAGATCTGCTAACCGAAGCCCCCCAAGCGACGTGAGCAGGATTCCACGCCTGTTCCCTGCTAATATAGATGTTCTTTGACGCTTATGCCCTGCGTACTTCCCGTCTCACCAATATACATATATCTCGTCACAGGTTGAACACTGTAGTTGACACACAGTCCTTCGCTGTGTGCAATCTCCATCTTTCCCAAACGACAAAGGACCCAGTTGCCCATCGTATTTACACGCACGATCATGAAGCTTACTACGGGTTAGATGGCGTTTAATATTTCCGCTGGCAGGTTGATCAAGACAACATCAATCGCCAAATCTGCTCGTGCAATGTGTTGCCGGATTTCTGCGCTAACTTTGTCTGATATAAAAGCCGGAGTTGCACAGTACGATTCCTTGCGAATAACCTTTTGATCCTGACCTTCCGTGCTGTGTCTCGTAACCAT